ATCTATTGTCTGCTTGTGACATTGAAGAATCACAGCAGAAAAAACTCAGGCAAAAAAAAACCTGCAAGTGCTGCTCAATCATTTTTGGAGTTAGCCTGCCAAGTTACATATTCATTAGTGCCTTCACAGGGCTTTTGAAACCCTTTTCTATGAAGCTGATACCTGCAATTCTCCCACTCCACACTCAAAATGTCAATTGGTTTAAGAGTATTACTCACATTTGCATAACAGATTGAAGCTATAAACTTATGATTTGAAAGCTAATAGATTCACAGTCAGTCTTGATTTGTCAGGTTTGTAGATTTACACTAAATTGAACTGACCTTAAATGCCATCCGAATGGTCTCTTCTGTGTTGGCTGGGTTACAAAGGATAGACAAACCAATTACATATTCTCTGAAGTCGATGGTGCCATCTCCATTCTGGAACCAAAATACATATGGCAGTGGATATAGTTAATATAGCAAATCACTTCAAAAGCTGTTGTATAAATCAACTACCCACCACGCACTAAGTTTACAACACTAGAAGTGTTTGTTTTTCCTGCAAGAAATACTAACACCTCACTAAATATATGTAACACTAGGGCTGAAGTAGCAATATATGTATTTTCAGTAGCTAGAAATTTGGTATCAATTTATCTTATAAACACCCAAACAAAAAGATTTAAAACAACTTACATATTTTTCTTTAGTATATGACCTCTAAGAAGCCTCTAACAAAAATTGGAAGGCATCTGTTTAGGGTAAATGTAACAGTTCATGCAGCGCTGGCACTTTGCTAGAGTTCAGAGATGAATGCAGCATCCTGTTGCCTTTTTTAATTCTTCCCAAGAACCTTCAGCAATAAAATACATGCTAGTGAAAGTACAGCCTGATGATGCAGTAAACCTACGTGGTCTATCTCCAGCCTTTCTTTGAAGCAAATCCACTGCCCTGTGTGCTATTTTGAAGCAAATACACTGTCCTACCTTTTAAGCCAGAAATACAATGAATTCATTGTAACAGCCTCTCTGATAATTCCAGTTTTGATCTGAACGACCATTTCAATGCGTTATCTACAAAGCTACGTTAACAAAACATTTGAAGCTTGCTTTGATGGGATCTGTGATTAACTCAATGTAAGCGTCATTATATTGGCAGAGAGGGGAAATCACAGATGCCCGCTGAAATACACTGAAAGCTTCTTGAGGGTTTGTGGAAATATCTAGTCTGGGGAAGAAGCCATGTCTGTGTTAGGTGATGGGACACAGAGTAGTCCAGTAAAGCATTGTTGAGATGACTAGTAGCTCATTCGCAATAAGGGAATTCATCAAAAAGATTATAAAAGCAAACAGAAGTGTAAAGTAGTGTTCCTTCTGTCGATAATGTGTTGTACGTTTCAAGAAGAAAAAGATTTTTAAAAAACTGGACTCCCTAAGTCCAAGAACAGCACAAAACATTTCAGCCAAGTGACAGAGGGGTGGTCTCCTGGGTAAATCTGTAGCGAACAGCGAGATCTAGATTCTATTTCTGGTTCTCCTACCAACTTCTAATGCCCACTTGAGCATGGGCATTAACCTTAACATTAACCTTAACCTTTCTGTTCTTGGTTTTCTGCTGCTGAATAGTGGAACAGGAGCTTGCCAGTGGAGAAATGCTAAGGCTGCTCTGTAGAGTGCTTTGAAAATATTGGGTTCTATGAAATAGGAATTTCTGTTATTTGATTTAGGTCTTAAGATAGTCCTCGATTACCAAGATATGTGTAATAAAGGATTCAGTACTAACTTTTCTTTATCAAGCTATATATTTGACAGGCTTTAAAACAGCTAAGATGCAATTTTATTTAGCCTTCAAAACCAATTCAGGACTGTTTTGCACAGACAGCTGTTATTTTCTTGCTATTAATGGTCTAACCAATCTTTTTTTGAAGACATGCAACCTTTGAACACTTTAAGGCCTTTACTTTAAAGGCCTTATCTTGTACTTTAAAGGCCTGTGAATTTTAAGGAAACTTTTAAGTAGAAATATTAATAGTCCTTAAGTTTCTTTCATGTGTGTCTAAGGGATATAACTTTTGTTAGTTTTTAATCATACAAATCTGTGCTCTTATTGTGCAGCTACAAATATTTTGGCTACATCATAGTTCTCGTAACAATAATAGATCTAACTTTAAAATGTATCATTATAAACCTAAACTCTTAAAACAACTGAAGCAAGAGTGTAGATAATAGTTGTTCAAAGTTCCATGTAATATTACACTTTGGTAGACTGTATTCTTAGCAAAGGATTGTTTGATGCTGTCAGAATTTATTTTTTTAATTTATTTTAAAAGTTAAGAACAAGTATCACAGCAAAAGAAATGGGAAGTAAACTTTAAATAAAATAGCATCATTAAATACAACTCCTGAAATCAGTTAACACAGCTTTGGCCACATGTGGGAGAAGGACAAGAGCTAATAAGGGTCATACTCCTTTCATTAAAGTACTAAAACTCAGTAATCAAAACTGGAGTGCAAGCTGTAACACAGACCTCCAGCCATCTGAGCAGGAAATAAACACTATCCTTGCAAGATCATGTTGTGACTAGCTCTAGTAAGCCCTAGGATGCTGGCTAGCTTCCAAATGCTCTGGCATTTTGGCTAAGGAGAGATGATAGGGTTGTTGCCTGGCAAAAGAGATGGGAGTTAAACTGCAGATGCAGGATAACCATCAGTGCCCATGTCACACCTCTGCAAACAAGCACTTGCAATAGCCCTTCCCTGCACATCCGCCTGTGTCTGTGGCCTGTGCACCCAAGAATGCTTTAAGAAAGCAACATGTGAGCTGAGCTCCAGTTCTCTAAATAGCAAAGTAGAACATCAGTATTTATATATTTGTATTGATGTTACACAACCAAAACATAGCACAACCTTAACAACCCTTGTTTTCTTTAAGGGAACTAGTTTTTTGCTATTATTTTCCCTATAGCATGCAGGGGTAACTAGGGTTTGTTGTTGGTTCTTTTATATAACACAGTAAATTTTATGCTTTGGAGAACCGGGCAGTTTGTGTTGTCATGACCAGTCTCCATTTAGAGTTGCACAAGGAGATTAGGGCTACAGATAATCAGTTAGCTTTATGAAGTTGGGAAAGCTCTGCATGACAGATGCAGTCAATAAAGCTGAAAGTACTACTGCCCCAAAACGTTTTTCTCACTATGTAAGGCAACAGGAAAAATCAAGTGTGTATGTGTTTTCACACTAGTCATTCCTGTTCTGATCAGCTAAGTAAACCCCGAGTTACTTACAGGGCTACCACAAAGAAGCTACAACTGAACTATTTGGGGCGGAGCTGCAGATGCACCTCTCATGTTCATATCCAGGCTCATTATCTAAAGTCTATTGCTGTAACTCCCAGATTCCCACTGCCTGTTGCTACATGCAAGTTCTAACTAGTCAGAAAGGGAAATTGTGAAACAAACCCAGTAGGATGGTGCTCACCTGAAGGTATCACACTTTCCCTCATGCTCACTTTTCTATTCCTCAGAGCCCAAGTGCTCCTGTGGATAACTGTGTGCTTTTTCACTGAATAACTGGGAGGGGGGGTGAATGCCATTAGGAAGGAGCTGACCTCTTTCATCACAATTTGGGCCAATACAAATATTTTTACTGTTTGTATCATCTATCTTGGTTTTAAACAAAGTGCAGGAGGACAAAAGTCTGGGCAGAAGTTGTAAATTACTTTTTCCTAACTTGCAAGTAAAAGGCTTCTGCAAGTATACCAGGGAGGAGATTCCATCAGTTTGGAAAATACTATTTGCTGAGTGCAACTGCCAGATTTAGATCACAGCTATGGAAATTTAGAAACAAACCCAAACCACAGTACCCCATTAGCACTCAGATGCCCTGCAGGTATTGTGTGGTATTTCTCAATTAGTCACGGATGTCTTCCTGGGGAGGGGCAGGGGCATGTGGACTCTTACATCTGGAGACTTGGTGTAGGGCACATGCTGCCCCACTCAACTCATCCTTTCACATTCCAGTCAGCTAGCACACACCCTAAACCATTTTCTTTTAAAGCAGCAGAGCTCTGCCAAGAAATCGGCCTTGTTATGCTGCAGGGCAAGAGCTGTTTTCATCAGCTGTGTAATCCTTAATTCAAAGAAATGTACCTTTGATAGTTCATGTTATTCCATTTTCTTTTACTCAGAAGTAGACGTCTTGGACAGAACTGCATAACTAGCTTGAGTGGGACACTGCACCCTGATAAAATGTAGCTCAGAGAGCCAGAGGTTGATTTTGGCGGCCTGGCTGCTATGTGACTGCATTATTACAGCAAGCTTCTCTAAATATAAATGTAGTATTTCAAGTTGTTTTCATTATGACTATAGTAAGACTTGAAGGAAAGAGAGAAAAGACTAGTTAATAGACTTGTAAGAAGGAGAAAAAGATTGTAAAAGTAGCCTTCAATTTTGTCCTGGCCAGCAGGTAGAACTGCCAATACCACTCAGGTTTTGCTTCAGCAGACAAGCATGGAAAAGCAAAAGTAAGAGGAAATTAAATGTGATTATGTAAATTCATTGATCATTATACTTATTGCAACTCTCATATTTTTCCCCTTGTTAGAAATAACTGCACAACTCTCTTTACTAGTCATTGCCTTCAGGCAAACAGAGATTTATTCCAGCTTAGCAAATGCTGACAAATTGGAACAGTAACATCAACACCAAACTTATGAGCTTTTTATAGAATAGTTATATTCATATGCAAGCCACTTGATGTGAAGAAATAACTAGGCTTTGATCCTTCAACATATTCCCTCACTTCAGAGTCTAGAGATAGTTTTCTGAGACAGCATTATGCAGCTGTCCAACCGTCAGCTTACACAAACCCTTCAGGAAAGCAGACTCACGCATGCACAAGAGGAATCACAACACTTAAAGCTGAGCTATCTACCACTCGCTACGTCTGCCTTAGAGCAAGGAAAAGGCTGCAGTTCTATGGCACAGGATTGTAGTCTGCCACGTATATCTTCCAGATGAAGCTTACTCTTCTCTGCTGTCCCTTCATGAATACATGGTCAGCTGCAGCCAGTCTTCTATGGTCATTTTGATCTGTCCATCTCCATCTCGGTCCAGGGACTTGAAGGTCCGGAACATGCTGTCCAGTCGTACCAAGCAGCTAATAAAGTTGTTGAAATCCATGCTCCCGTCCTCGTCGGCATACCTGCGCATGATTACCTGGCAGAGTTGTTCATTCAGATGGAACCCTGCAGCCTTCAAGGCACCTGGCAGCTGAGCTCTCCCCACAGTGCCTGACTGTCCAGCATCATACTGCTTGTACACACGTTGCCATTTCTTGATGTTGTTCCACAGATACTTAAACTCTTCAAAGCCCAGTTTGCCGTTTGTATCGCTGTCCATGACAACTACCATGCTGCGGCACGTGTCTAAGCTGAAGCCATCTGTCTTCAAGTCTTGGTGTCTGGAAATGACTTTGTTCAGGATGTCCCTTAGCTCTGTGGCACACACTTCCATATCTTCTCCAGCCAGCTGGGCAAAAAGGCGACGGAACTGTCTGATCTCCTCACTCTCATAAGCTTCCACATTCGTAAAATGGTTGTGAGGAGGTGGAGGTGGCTCTGGATTATACTGAGCTGCTGCTTCACTTATAAGATTGACAAGACCTCCAACAAGTCCTCCAAGATTCCCTCCAAGATTCCCTCCGTGTCCACCTCCTGTTAGGAGACCTCCAAGGCCACGTGCAAGACTCCCTCCACGACCACTACCGCTTCCTCCACTCAGCAAAGCTTTAGCAAGGAACATCGCGAAGATTTTCTGAAGGGAGTTACTCAGAGATCCGGTGCTTCTGTAACTCTTTGAAGCTGTACTGTGTGCTGTGTCTGAGCTGGGCGTGGGCAAAACACAGCTTATCTGCATGCTTAGACTTCACCGTGTCTGTGCATGTCTCCAGCTGCCAGAGTTATCTCACTAGTTTCTGTCAGTTGTTGATACACCTCTATTTCTCTGCATAGTTAGCTTTACATGATTTGAGGAATCTCTTTAGAAAAAAAAAACAAACCAACAATGAGGCTGAAAGGCACAGAGCAGAAGTCTCAAAATACTTGTGCTCGTAACTCCAGCAATTTGAAAAGAGCTCTGACACACTAGTGTGACTGTTCCTCAGTTAAAGCTGATCTCCTTAAAGATGAATGCAGCGAAAGCTTACTAGATTCTTTTCTGTTCTTGCAGTCTTTTATGCCTTCAGCTTTTTGGTGATCTGAGCATTACGTTGCTAATTTTAGTCACTGAGGCTGTTGTGCCAGATAGGGAAAGCGAAAGGAGTCTTGATTGCCCTTAATTATCTTGGTTGCGACACCATATTTCTGTTGTATATACTGTGTTTCAGGACTCAAAATACGTCTTCATAGGAGCCAATGGTTCAAGATGGGGAGGCAAGAACGAAGAAGGGATGAGTAACTAGCCCTGCTAGGGCTTCAGTCCATTCAGCAGTTAAGGAAATATATTTGACTCTTCTCTGCTGTAGAGCTTGTAAAACCTTTTTATCTGGGAAAAAATCCTGGAACGTTTTTAATCGGCACATACACAATGAGCTCCCATGGACAGGTGTAGTGCTAAAGCTAGCTTGATCAGAAAGAGTGATGCTGAGCTGGGAGAGCTCCTACAATAAGAAACAAACTCCAGGCCACAAGCGGTTGCAGTACAACGTGCTGCTTGCACTGTTGTACATACTAGATGCCGAGAAGTGAGATGAATTCTATGCTACACTCTAGTCACTGATGCTTCGGGCACAGTCAGAGGGGCGCATCCACAGAGCCATTTTTCTCATCTTCAGAGAGAATTAGAAAATGGAGAGGTCACCACTGACTATGGGGGAAAGCCTAAATGATCAGATTAACACATCACCTCCTTATGGCTGGAGACAGGCGAGAGGAGTTCTTATAATGTCTAATAGCACCTTTCACAAACACAGCAGGAACATACACTCTAGTCAGCTTCAATCTGCCTTAAATTATCTACTTACAACTACATCAGTTATTTAAGCTGTCAGAATGAAAGTAAACTCAAAATGTGGGTAAGCAAAAGGAAATATTCAGCCATTACCACCATGCAGATTATAATCTCATGGTGGCATACCAGCTTGGTCCAAGAGACTGCTGTCATCTCACAAGCCACAAACTGACCAACCTTTTTCCATCGAAACTTCAGAAGGACACTGTAAGAGTCATCTGTCTTGTCTACAGGAACTGCTAACCAAGAAGCATTTACTAAGATGGAGATAATGAATTAAATATCCTTTTGGGATGTGATTTTTAACAAAACATTCTCAACAAGTCCAGTCAACCAACTACTCACCCTGTCAAAGAGTAGAAACAGCTCTCTGAGGACATCTGAAATAGGCAGCTTCAAGTACTCTGCAAACTCCTCAATTCCAATTCTTCCCCCTTTGGAAGCGCTTGCAATAGCAGCAAAGGTATCCAGCTGCTCTCTGATATGATTCCATTTTAGGCTATGCAAACATGGGAGAGAGGAGATATTTCTATACAGCAGATCTTGGACAGATGGAATTTCAGTAGGAGTTATTACAGTGTTCAAAGACGAAAAATAGCCAGAGCATGTGTGTACAGCATTAGAAATGCTGCACTTCCAACCTGATATTTTGTATTAAATCAGCAGTTAAGGACTGCTCCCCCTGGTTATTAATTTCAAAAGCAGGCAGTTCTATGCTTGGATATATCAGACTTCCTTAGAATAACTTCCCAAACTAGAATAATATGCCCAGTTATTAGGCTAGTCTAGCAAAGAGCTTTTCATTACTATGGATTCAGGTGCAGCATTATTTTGCTGCATCATGCTCGAGGGTGAGTATTTCCTTATCAGAAGGGAACAGATCTCAGCTCTATTAGCTAACTCTCTACCCAAATGCGAGTTTTCCTACAGCCTGAGAAGTTTCTGATGTCTCTGCAGAAATACACCACTGCATCTCAGTAAGAATAACACTCCTGTATGATGTATTATGCCATGTAACTGCTGAAGATTGTTCCAGACAGAGCTCTACAAATGGATTCATAGCACATATGTAATGAGTCCAGATTCACTGCACACATATTTCAGATTTGACTGCAGCCATGCCAGGTTATTTGATGGAGTTACTGTATGATTAAGTGGTTCAGTCCTCAAATTCTGCCGTATCCAGACAGAAAAAGTCGACACCACTAGCAAAACATGGCTCTGCAGTGCAACTAAGATCAGTAACTCGCTGGCTGAAGTCTCAGGCTGGAAAGAAGGTTTTGTACTTCCTACCACACGCTGCCTGAGCAATTTAAATTGGGCACCAAGATTACCATCAAGTGCCTAAAATAGGTACTGGTCTACCTTCTTCCCATAAAAGATTAGAAAAATGCATTTTTCCTTTTGTAACACTGCCCACAAAAAGTACTTGGGATTCGTTCTTACTGGGATTTTCCTCATCTCTGATTTCCATATAGTTTATATAAGTTGTATACATAAATACATTGTATTACACATGGCCAAGTCAGTTGGCAGGTAATTTATCCTTTTGTAGATAGCAATCAATACCTGCAGCACTACAGTAATTACATTACCAACAGCTCAACTTCCCTTACTTGAGTTTCTTGCTAATTTTGGTGAACTCCACCAGCCCAGCTTCCATGGGTAAAGTCAGCTGTC